TAAAGGGGCGATGGTAGCGCGATATCGAATGCCGGATTGCCGTCGAGCTGCGGAAAAAGGAGCTCCACGGTCACGGTGAAATTGCGGAAGAATTGCGACGCACATACCTATAAAAGACGACCTGTCAATAGCATGGACCCGCCGCCGCACCGTGCGCGATTTCAATCGGTATCTACCCCAGCCCCGCACTTCACCCCAGCTCATCCCCCTCCCCTCTTTCCACGAAGCGATACGTGGTGCATACAAGGCGCCGTAGCCATACGTATGCATGTCGCAGGGATGCTTGCACCTGCGCAAGCACAGAAGCGGATTTGTGTGGCGGCTAACGAGAGCGAGGATTCAGACCGGCATAATTCCGGCGAGCTGAATCCGCGGTGTCGTAGACACGCCGATCATCGTGGTCGTACCTTCGTGAATGAATCAAACGACAACAACGACGACGACGACGACAACGACGAAAGGAGCTTAGCTCGCCTGTCAAAGCTCCCTAGTTCGACGCGATATATCAGTAGCGAATGTAAAGGTAATCTAGCTCCTTCGATTTATTAATCGCAAACGAGCAGATTTATATCACCGTAGCAATTTTACACAGAGAAAAAAATATTTGGTATCTGTGACTATCATCACGCAAGGAAATAATTAGGGGAGACCGGAACTATATGGAGTATAGCTTCGGGAGTATGTTGCTTATTTGCTTTTTTTGAGAAGAATAGTGGATACAAAATTGCGAAATAGTCCTTTTAGAACATAAACAAATTTTCCTTGTTTCATTAAAATCAGAATAACATAAGTTGATTTGGTAATAACAAAGTAAATTTCCGATCCTCTCGAAATTTTGTATTAATATTTCTCATCATAACTGAATAAAATTAAACGATGTGTTACTAGCTAGAATAAAATTTCTTGTGCATAATATATTGTTTCTGGTAATATAAATATAATTTTCATTCATAAAATTATTAAAATAGAGTATATAGGTGGACGAAGTAAAGTTGACCCATAATTAAAGACCAACAGCTATGGAGACCTCTCATAAAGACTATGGAACTACTAATCAGGATACATATTTTAATACGTGTGGCTTTTTTGCGCTCTGCACAACTAGGGCAAGATAAGCGATGTTGCTGCATGTTCGTATTTTGGTTATTACAAAACAAAATATACGATCAAGGCTCGTGGCGGGCAGAAGAAGATTGCTTCTATCAAGTTTATACAGTCAATCACAACAATTAGTTGCTTGATGAGTTACAACTTCAAAATTCTAAAGTATAGAGTATCTACCTCAGACTCCCCTACTACATATTACATAGTCAAGAAAATCGTTTTCTTTTTATCAAATTCTACTTTCATATTAGCGATAATAGCCTTATGTGCATGTTGGCTTTTTCCGTTTCTTAACTGTAATGTTATTCTGATTTTAATGAAATTCAGGGAAAATTATTTACAAAAGAACCATTTCGCGATGTTATACTATTCCTCTCAAGATAAACTCTAAAAAAAGTACATGAGTAACATACCCCTAGAGCCATATAACCGCGATCTCCCATAATTATTTTCTCGCTATTTTCGTGTTAAAACAACCAAAAAATTTTGAAGCCAAAAATGACTGTAATTTTCGTTAGATCAACCGTTCTTTTCTTTCAATATAGGCCTCGGAAAAGTTGACATCCGTTTCTGCACATGGGAAAGTATCCCTTCTGCCACTTATTCGAGATGTGTATCCGTACGGCGGCTTCGATATAAAACTCGCCCGAGAAATTTCCCGCCGCGTCTCATTCCGCCCGTCTTATTTCGTGGTCGAAAGGATTCCGCGAGAATCGGAACTCGCCCCGGCCAATGCAGCTGACAGGCACAAAAGAAAGGAACCGGTGCTCCGATATCAGTGAACCATTATGCGATGCGACAAAAAACGCGATAGAGAGCGCGATGCGAATTTGCCAGCGAAGGAAATATTGCGTCAACGTCAGCCGACAATTTGGTGAATTGACGATCATTAATGAAGATCGAAATTAGAAGTCGTGCATTTTTTAAATCAGAAGTAACTGAGAGGGAAACGTCACTATAGCTCGTATTAAGGTAAAAGTATCAGTACCCGGACATGTACCTAATCTTGGACATTCTTTTCGTTTTGGTCTTTGAATACAAATATTTCAACTTTTGATATAAAATATAGATACAAGTATTGAGTATGTAAATATATTCTAAGATGAAAGATTAAATATTCATATTTAAAGATCAAAATAATAAGAATGTCCAGGATTAAGTACGTATATATATCCGGGGAAATTGGTATCTTATCTTAATAGTTATTACTTGAAACTCCTCTCAAGTGAGATAATCAGATTTGAACTCTAAGTCAAATAAAAGTTTTTTTAGTTGAATCACGACTGCAGATATAAATATTACATATATCGTGATTTTCAACTGGAAAACTTAGATCTAACTCAAAATAGGAGTTTGAGAATCTCACATAAAACAAATTTCAAGTGATAACTATCAATACAGGTCTTGTATATATAAATATCAAAATGTATAAGTAATATAATATGTATAAGTTGCATGTTTCGTTATGAATATATATGTGTGACACGCACTGAGAGAAAAAAATGTCTGAAAAATAAAAAAATATTTATTCAGTTGATGTTAATAATGCATTTATTTAAATTTAAATTCTGTTTAAATAGAATAAACAAGTGCTTTCACAAGAAACAATTGTTTCAAGAAAACATTTTTACATTGAGAAAAAATCTTTTTCACAAATGAAAAAATGTATGTTTTCCTAAAACATACCGTTCCTTTTCACGAAAGCAATTGTTTATTCCACTTAAATAAAAAAAAAATTTATATCTCACATAATTATTATAATTATAATAATTATTATAATTATTTTACATATTTTTACGTTAAAAAGAAATTTCTTTCAAATGAGAAAATATATGTATGTATATTAATACAAATAAATATATTATAAATACACCCATCGAATAAATATTTTCTTTTATGTATTTTTCCTCTCATTGTAAGATCCGAGAGAATTATTTTCAAACAGAAGTGATGGATCCATAGATAGATCTATAGATCTACTCTATATTCTTGTAGAGTGATATCAGTCATTAGAAGAAAACACGGTTTCATTAGAAACCGCCGTTTATGGGTGCGTGTGTTGTTCACGAAAGTAAGTTTTCATGTAGCAATAACAGAACCGGATGATATGGCAATCTCCCAGAGCCAAAACGACGAAAGGATTGCAGTTCTTTTTCCTATTTATTTATCTTATGTCACGCACGACCTCGCAAATTGAGCACGCGATCACCGAGCAACATTATACAACCTCAATATTCCCACCGACTTTACTCTCACAAATATTGATATAAATACCGTTATATATAGTTATACGTTAAATATAGTAATAACGTCCTCTTTGCACGCAATATCTCGTTACAGTAGTAAAAGTGTTATCATTAAAAGGTATTATAAAAGAAAAAAATAACTTTAACAATAATTTTATCAAAAACCTGACATGTGCATTCTGTACAAGTAATATAACACACAACAGTATATAATAACAATAAATATAATAAAATCACTAGAAGCCATTATGCTCGGAAAACAGAATAATATAAATCCGAGCTTATCGCGCTTCGGCAGCGATAAATATAATTCGTCCTTGCAGGCAAATTCGAGAAATACTTACTATGATTCTATGTACACAGAAAAGATATTCTTGTTTAAAAAATATCCTTATTTTTGTTAATTTTCAAATGAAACTACATAGCATTAAACGAAGATAAGTTACTCGCAAGAATATATTTTATATAATTTTTTCAACGAAGAAAACTTGTGTTCTTATTATTCAAAAATAACTTTTATTAATGGAAAGCATAAAATATTGAATTGAGAATATGATGTTCTTAAATGTGTATTATATGCCCCAGATTCTCCTATCCACTTAAAAATAATTCAATAATCATTGTGTTTCATATAAGCAACGATATACAATTAGAGGAATGTTATTAACTTTATTTTTTAGAAAAATAAAGATATTTTTCAAACAAGAAGCTTCTTTACTTCTGAGTATATTTGTTTCGTATTTGCAAATGTACTAGAAAATTTTTCAACTTGGCTCGACTATACTCGACTTGCTGACGTACTTCGGCACAGTAAGCGTTTTCAAAAGGACTATACTACCGAAGCCAATAGAAAAGGCTGCACGTAGGGATAAAGCTCCCTGTATATCAGTTGGAAGATACGGTGACGACGGGGATTGAATGGGAGGACGCAGCGGAGAGGGACACCGATAGTGAGGAGAAATATGCCATTATAATTTGGTCCCGAGTACAACAACACCATATCGGAGTTTCGCGGCCTACTTCGCGAAAGAGTTTTCGAGATAGCGGGCGTGCGAAGAAATGCGCTCGCAGCACAAAAGGCGAACGACCCACTGCGTCTTCCCGCGATCAAGATAAAATGGGAATCGACGAACGAGGTCGCTCCACACACACTTAACTTCGAAATTACGATTGAATCGGCCACCTCAAAAATGTGAAGAGAAGAAATGAGAAAAACAGAAGGCAAGATATTCTAAAATTGTGTTCATTATTTAATTGTATCATCCTGTGCACGATTATTCTATTCTAACCTACATTGAGAAAAAGCTCCACTTTAGTCATATTTCACATAGTCAAGACAACGATAACTAAATTATTGTTGCTCATAATAAATTGTACGGTCGACGCAAATATTACTTAATTGCATACAATTTTGTAACTGTTGTATGAAACTGGAAGATTTTTAGTCAAGAGAATCATCTTTGTAGTAAGTGTTACTATAATGTTAATAATAATAATATTTTCTATGCATGTTGCTATTACTACTTTTTTGTTAGATCAACTACTTTTTCGTTAGATCTACTACTAACTTTGTATTGGATAAAAAATCTAGTTGGAACCGAAATAACTATAATTTTAGTAACGTTAACCAGTTTTCCTCTCAGTGTATTGTGTGGTGACGACTCGTTAAAAGTGGCCGATTCGATGGAATTTCGAAGAGATACAAATATTATTCACACACTCACCGATATCGTTGATATCGTTGATACTAGCATTGATGAATCCAGGCATTGGATTTCCAGTTAATCCAGCTAATTCATGGGAGCTATTTGATGTAGCTCGAACCTACAAAGCAAGCAACAACACCGAATAAATATTATAATATTTTTAATTTAGTCATATTTCATATAGTCAAAACAGCAATAACTAAATTACTATTGCTCATAATAAATTGTACGATCAATGTAAATATTATTTAATTGCATATAGTTTTGAATAGTTGGAATGGTAATGTACATTCATTCAAGTGTGCTATAAACATAACTAATATAAAAAAGAAGAACAAGAAACGGAAAGAGCAAGATATATTCTAAAATTACATGTCTTATTTAAGCACATTGTGATTGTGATATGCGCGATTATATGGCGATGACTCGTCAAGAATAATCGATTCGACGAAAGAGAGAGATACTAAAATATTATTCACATACCCACCGATATCATTGACCAACTACTGCATTTCCTGCTTGATCGTGTTCATAAGTGCTATTTCGTATAATTTCATATCTACACACAAAAAAACAAACATTCCCCAGTCAATATTAAAGTAAATTATTCGATCCAGTCATATTTCGCGCGATGGAATACTAACTGCTAAATTTTTTTCTCGCAGGAGATCATACAATCTACATAAACATCACTTGGTCGCGAATGATTTCAAACGATTGATAATATTAATGAATATCTGGTATCAACGTTCAAACCCTGCGAGCGCAACCGATGCGAAAAGGAAAAGGAGAAGAGAAAAGTAAAGGTAAGGTACTCTAAGATTATATTCTTTATTTATTTGAATTGTGACGCGCGCGTTTATATGCGGCGACGACTTGCAGAGAATAATTGACGAAATTTGACGAAATTTCGCAAGATACGCTAAAATATTACTCACTTGCTCATCGATGTCGTTGACCACTGCATCGTCTATTCGATCGTGCTCATGGACGTCATTTTGTATAACCATTGCCAACTACGACTAAGCAACAATGTCGAATTAATATTCAACAAATCATCACATCTGATGATTTCGTGCGAATCATGTTTCATACGATCAAGACATTAACCTCTAAATCTCTTTTTCTAGCAAAAAATCGTACGACTTACACGCTATGGATGTTACTTGGCAAGATATTTCGAACGATCGGAACATGAATGAATATTAGACACTAACGTTCAAATGTTACGAACGCAATTGGCGCGGAAAGTGGAGAGAAGGGAAGGGGGAGAGTATAATACTCCAAGGTTGCATTCCAAAACATCCTCTTTGAGGCAAATTCTACGGAAATCTATACGTTCACGTTGCATGCACGTGCATCACGTTGCACTGTGAATTTTCAGTCAAATTTTCCTCAAAAAGAACGTTTTGATATGTAACTTTGATGTGAAGGAATACAACCCCCTCTTGGTGTAAAGGTTATATATATTCTTTACTTACTTGCATCGCTTATATGCACACTCACGATTATGCGGCGACGACTCGCCGAGAACAACTAATGCGACGATATTTCCGAGAGAGATACGCCAAAATATCATTCGCCTGCTCACCGATGTTATCGATCGAACAGTGGATCTCCTGCTCGATCGTGTTTAGGACGCTAATCTAACCTCGAGCCTAAACACAAACAATAAAACGTTATATCCTCGAGTCCTACGAATCATATGGCGTCATATATCATATAATCGGGACGCTAATCATAAAATATTTACCTCGGAGCGGCAGGATTAGTACAAACAGCACTCGAATGCGGACAATCTTGGACGGTTGAGATATTGGCGAATATTTCAAAGCAATGTTCAAACACTGCGAATGCGTCGAGACGCGGGAGAAGATTCTGGCACTACCGGTAATAGCGAGATCGCCGCGGGCCAATCAGCGAGCGTTACGTCATCGATCCGCATGAACAATACCAAGACTGCGTTCCGAAATTCACTGCCAATACTGAAATTCTATGATATATGTAACATAAATTATAGATTTTCAGTACTGGCAGTGCATTTCGGAACGCACCTAAATATGTAATAAAAAATGTTTTTATTCCCAAATCTTTCTCACTAGACTCGACCCACACTCTGCCCTTGGAGGTCTACTCTCGGACGTATACTGGATGTTGAAAATGTACCAGCATCAATAACCGCGGGTAACAAAGACACGACTACTGACAATACCGACAGTTGCTAGCATATCATCTAGGTTGCGCTCCGATATTCACTGCCAGTAGAGAATCTATAGCATACATAACATGTGGTCTGTTCTTTTCAGCTGCACTGCTGAACTGGTGCAATAAGTTAAAGCAGAGAGAAGCCTGAGAGCGGCCACCAGCTTGATTTTAGTGGCCAGAGCTAGGTGCATTTTCGAGACGCCATCTAACAAGGTGTGCTTTTACTACGTTCGTTTGGCGCATTTTCATGGTGGTAACGATAAAATAGGCACATTCAGCGAAAAAAGCGCTCAGTGAGCATTCAGCGATTATTGGTTCCTACTGTTAAATCCCTAAATCTAGACCAATTACATTGACGAATTGCTCAACTGTTGTGCAACTGTTGAGTTCGCTGAACGCATCCAATGGATGCGTCCCCAATAGGGATTACATATATAGTCCAAATATATTTCATATAATAAAAGTCAGAGATATACATAAAACTAAAGCATTTGAAGCGACTACTGAATACAAACTAGAGTTAATTTTATTATTAATATTTTCATTTAATTTAGTTATATTTGCTTTCTTAATAAAAAAAATTTTTAAATATAAAAAAAATTGTATATACAATTAAGTGATTATTAATAAACTATATTTCAATTGTATAGTATTTTCAAGATACACAGAAAGTGAAATAATTACACGTAAGTTTGCTGAAATATTAAAGATTATATTAACTTTATGACAATATTATAATGTAAGGTTATCTTGTAAGGTTAATGTATAGGTTAATGTAGGAATATCTGGACGAAGCGTAAAGTATTTTTACGGGCGCGGGGTGTGAAATCAACGCGGTGAGCGGAAATCTTCGTCGCGGCCATCTTTGGTGATAAAAATGACACACACACACACACATATATATATATATATATATATATATATATATATATATATATATATATATATATGACATATGTGTATACATAGATCGAAGATTTTAACCTTTGTGGTGAAAGGTCCTTATGAATAAGACTACCCTACTGAAAAATTTCTATTGAGATCACAATTGAATTCCCAATTGAATTCTCAATTAAATTCTCAATTGAATTCTCA